CAACGTCGTAATTCCTTCGGAATCTTGGGTCGCTCCTCCGGGAGTACTTTCCTGTTGCCCAGTGCTAGCAGCTGCTCCCTACTGTAAACAATGGCTTGGCTTACAGATTCTCCAGAAGTGGTGGTAAAAAGTCCCAAAAAGAGTAGAAGACATACTACTACTCTCACGAAAATTTGTGGGTCCATGTCCCACTGCACAACAAATAAAACACGACCAAGAGTGTCGGGTAAAAAAAGCTTAAAGCACAAGAAAAAACAGAAAGGAAAGAAAAAAGCTGGGAGCTGAGGAAACAGGCTGCCTGCCGTGGCGCCATCTTGGATGGCGGATAGCCTGCAATGTGGACATGCTACTGGAATGGATACCAGGAAACCAGGAGTTCCAGTTCCAGGAGATATTTTGTTTGGAGGAATTTTTCCCATTGACAAAGACGTGGGGACAAAGAACAAAACCTTTGCTCGACACCTGCAGTCTTCTATCAGGTAAGGTCTTAGTGTCAAGATGATCTGTTTCTCGTCAGCTTCACAAATCGTGATTGCGATGAGCATCCACTGAGTGGTAATTTGGCTCCTAAATGTTAGTTTCACTATCTTCTAAGCCCATAACAGAATTCCATAATTAATGTAATTCCTGCACAAAAAATAAATGGTAGAGAAAAATATGTACCAATGCATACTGTATCCAAGCACAAAAGCAGGCGACTGGATCTTGGGACGTTTACACATTTTGACGGACATGAAATCTTATGATCGAAATGTGAAGTTAACAAAACCATCACAGGGTCAAATATAGAAACACAGAAAACAGCAGTAAGTCTCAGTTAATTCAGACCTTTATGCTACAAACTGTGAGCCACCTCTGCTGGCACCTTATGACTCAGACTAACACATTACTGCAGATGCTACATCCATTAGTCCATCGATCTCCTGCTCCTTCCTTCCCTCACCCGTGGAAAAGGCGTGGGAAGATGCTAACTGTCATTGCAGCCAAAATATTTGGTCGTAAACCACCTTTGCATGAGCTCAATGAAGCCAAATGCATCAACTGCATCATCTTAAAAACAAAAGAGCTGCGATCTTCAGACCGCAGAATTTGATTCTTGTCCTCTCGATGACTATAAAGTCCATCACCTACCACAATGAACAACAACAGATACACCGACCCCGAGGACAGCTGAGGCTTTGAACATGTGTTTCTTTGAGTGAAAAAATGATGATATGTCTATTCTAATAAAATCATTTTCAATTAATAAACCTTTGTTTAAACACATGGTGTGTTCTTCTTCTGCTTGATGGTTATTACTAATAACCCCCCACTATATATAACAATGTACAGCACAGTCTTACAGTAGGTCAGTGGTTCCCAAACTTTTTCGCTGGGCCCCCTTTGTTTTACAAGAAAAAT